GATCCCATGGACTTTAAAACACATTGATATTAAATTTCAAATCTTACCTGTAACCCGCCGATTTGTGAAATCCTATCTTCACCAAACGATCTCTTTGCCTCCATGATATCCTCAACTCTGACCTCTCTCTCTCTCCACCCCCTATTAACCCTAGCCTGTCCATATCACCGCAGCCTCGCCTTGAGCATCGCCCCCACTAGCGCATTGCCTTGAGCGTTGCCCAGTCGTCAGCGAACCCAACCCTCTTCATCTAGAGTCTTTCTAGTGTCGAAACCTTAAGCTCTAGCTTCAAAGTGTGCGATATTCTTTCAAACCTTTTCCCCCCCTAAATCGGAGGTATTTAGGGCTTATTACTGTTAATAGTTGATGTTAAAATTTCGTGTCTATTTAACTTGGAATCATAATAATTGTAATTTTCACCTTTTGCCTAATTTTAGATCTTAATTTGCTACTTCGATGTTATCGGTTATAGATATATTTATTAATGTGTTCTTAATTAAGAGAAAGTGGGCACAGTTCTTCTATTTGATTGAGAAACTTGAAAAAATTTAGAAAATAATTTGAATTGATTATTTGCTATTTATATTTGCATTTTGAGGATTTTATTCTTAATCATGTGATATGCAATGATATTCATTTAATTCACATTATTCATTATGACACTTTATTGCCCTAAAGTTTCACATTTATTGGACTTTAATGTTGTAAATTTAACTCTTGTTAGATTTTTATAATTTGGAATGCTTACACACATAGATAACCTAATTCTCCTCTACAAATATGGTTCCTTAGTGGATTTTGTTCATGTTTGTCTATAGAAGGGGAAATTTGATATCTTAGCGTACACAATACATAGAATAAATGCTTAATACATAAGAGAAAATGACATACAAAAGTACACTATATAAACGTTTTCCAACTAAAGACAATGCATGTATACTGATAGGTGTAAGGTAGAACAATAGAAAACTGGTTATAATGCTAGTGATTAGAAAGTTTTTTCCCCTCAACTAAGATTTGTGCACTTTACTCCATTTTCCTGACTAATCATAAATACTTATCCATTATCAGTTCTAATTAATCTATTAAAAGAGGTAAAACTTAATAGCTACAACATGCTTTAATAAAATAACCAGAATTCATGTGAATACTCCATGTGCCCAGTCCAAATTACATTGGAAGGTATACATTGTCGCACCATAATGAAATTCCTAGAACTCAAATAGATGCTATGGATATACTTGATTTCTTTTTAATGGAGTTAAAGAACACATCAATTTCACACTCTAAAGTAACAACGAGCATATAATGTCTTATGAGGTATAGAGTTTAGTTTGATTATTTAGGTTTCTATAAGTCATCGCACAAAGAAATAGACCGACATAATACTAATACTTTCTACATATCTCATTTGGTTTTGTGATATAGCTAAAACCAAGTTTTTGTACATGATCCCGCTTTAGGGGAAACATCAAAAAGGCGACCGCACATGAAAAAAACTCAAAAAAAAGATTATGAGAATTAAAATGTAGACTGCCAAATTATTGTAAGATAAATCAATTTAGAGTTTTGCGATGATATGATAAGTTTGTTTTTGAGACAATGACCATATAACTCCTACCATATTAACATATCAGAATGTGACGAACTTTTGTAGAGAGATTTGTGGGGGTAGACCTAATTAAAATTAGAGGTGATGTTTAAGATTACTTATCAATTTTGAGTTTATGATAGGTGTTTAAAAACTTCAGAAAACTTGCATGAAGAAATTAGTTAAGATGGGTATGAAAGCTTAGTTGATGCCTAGTTGCCTGTAATAGTAAAAATGTGGCCCTCAGAAGCTTTCACAAAAATCCGGTGACCTTATTTCTTTCTTTAACAAGCCAATTGCAGATTAAAAAGGATGTCAGCATAGTTAATTCGTTATTCAACTATTGGCTTCTAAATCTACAACCAATTGTATTTTTTTCATTCTTGTCATCATGATATACCTCTGTTGACGTTTTGTCTCTAATCTCTCTATATTGTCCTACGAGATAATAATGTATATGTATGTGTATATAAACTTAAACTAAAAACTTATTGTTGCAAGAAAACATTATCTACTGAATTTGATACTTTGAGAAGTTACATACAACCGCATTGTCTCACTTTCTAAAGTTTGAAACTAGCAAAGGTCCATGTTACTACTCCGAAACTCCAAAGTTGTAGTGAGGATTGAGAGCTATAATTTCATACTCTAATAGGAATAGGATTTGATCTTATTGTTGTTTGATCATTCTCTTATAGTAAGATTTTCTCCTTCATCTTTATTTCTAGTTGTTTCATTATAGAAAGCAATAGTTCCAGCAATTTCGGTTTTAATTAATAGTTACTTTTAACTTTTGATGCATCATTATTGTTCTATTATTGTAATTTTTTATTGATGATGTATTTGATTTTAAGTTGTGAGGATACTTCTCTTCATCGACTTCTTCATCCTTATGTATCTTTGATCAGGTATAGCTTGGGAGATTTCTTCTGCATTAGAGATCTACCCATCAAAACATCTAATTGAATATCAAAGATAATATGTCAACGGAATGTGTTACACTAAGTTATCACAAATTTATTAAATTTGGTAAGGCGTATGAAATAGTTACTAATATATGTCCCTTGTCTCCTTATAGTCATTTATTTGCATCTGTTTTCAGATGAAGACAATTTATCCATCAGGGTTTTACAGGTCTTATGATGGGGCCTTCAATGCTTCCAATAATGAGTGTTTTACGCATTTATGGTTCAGGAAAATCTTGAGCAGCATGATGAAACTTATTCTAGAAAGAGACATCAACAATTATGTTTACACAAAAAGATGAAACTGATGTTCAGTGTCTTTTTTGTTGTATTATAAAGCAAAAGGGTCATCTTTAAGAAAAAAAAGAAAAGCTTTTGTTTAACATGTTATGCATGTATTAAATCTAATTTGTATAGAAATATGTTTCAATTTTCATGAGAATTTTTATTAGATTTGTCGGCTTTTACTAGACTTGATAATTTTGGGATTAAGGCATACCAAGATCTAATTATAGATTTCATGAGTTGACTTAGATTAATATTATTTCCAATCTTAAGACATCAGTTCAACTTATCAAAATAGGTAGAAATATTATTCATGTGTGATATTTGTGGACTATACTTATGAGCAATACGAAGCCTATATGCAAGAATAATGTGTTATTGAGTTCCATGGGAAATTTTCTCGTTGATAAATTCTTGGGTAATCGGGGCAGGATGTCATAGAGGCTTATTGAACTAGAGAAAGTAAAAGCATAAATCATGGGAAGCAGATAAATCCAAATTCATGTATAACGATTAACGAGAATATCCAGAAATTAGATTTGAAATTGAAAATTTAAAATCCTTTCATCTAATAAAAGAAACCCAACAAGTGATTTGTTAAATCAATGAATTTCAAATCTTAGATTTTAAATCCACTGTTTTCAAATCTACACCTCAAATCTAAATCTCATTTCTTCAAAAGCAACATATGATCTTTTTGTTTTCGAAATATCTGATGCAATCTTTATTTTAGGCAAAATTTTCTTTTTGGAATTTTAGGACCTTCGAGATTTGATTTTGTTTCCTAATAATTGGATGTTACGATCTTTGAGATTTTTTTTTATCTTATTTCCTAAGGATTTTTTCCTTTAAATAAAGGTGGAAGCCTTACAAAGAAGGAGACCACTAATTAATGAAAATAAAATTTATTTATTTTTCTTGAGATGTGATATCTTCTCCAAACATGTGAATAGCTTATTTGGTGTGTATGTGTGAAGCCTATTATTTATTAGGGTGCGAAGTCCTTGGGGTGAAGCTTAACTATTGGATTCTTGATGCTCTCCTCAAATAAATCATAGCCCTCCAATCACTGCAACAGGAACACAAAATAACTCTGTTCCACTCTCTTTCTTATGTTTCTTGCAACATCCAGAATTCAAACTTCTCTATCTAGCAGTCAAACAACCATCACAAACCACCAAAACATTCTCTTCCCTTGCAGCTAACTACCACAACATTTTTATTTTCTTTAAATAAATGTTTAAGTCTTACTAAGAAGGAGAAAATTGATTAATAAAAATGAAAATTTCCTAAAATGTGAAATCTTTTCTAAGTATGTGAATTACATATTGGATGTGATGCCCCTAGGTTTGAAGTCTACTCTTTATTGGGGTGTAAAGCCCTTAGGTGTGGATCTTATCTATCTCGAATTCTCAATCCTCTCAATAAATCTTAGCCCTCCAATCATTACAACAAAAACACAAAAATAAAACTGTTCTCTTCTCTTTCTTCTGTGCAAAAACCATATTTCTCTATCCAGCAGCCAAACAACCATCACAAACAGCCAAAACTCTCTCTCGCAGCCAAAACAGCATCAAAACCCCTTTTTCTTCTCTATTTGACTGCAAGAAAACTAAAGAACAGCAGGTAAAAGCCCCTCATCTTTGTTATCATCAGCCACAAACAAAACAAAACAACCCAACAGAAAATCTCCATCGATCACTCATCCCATACCCCACCAAGGAACATAATTCTATAGGAGTTTTTCTTAGTCCTACAACATCAATGAAATCAAAGGATTCCAATTAAGTAAGGTCAATTAAGTAAGGTCCATAGGACAAAATCCTTAAAGGATATAATAGGACCTAACAAAGATAATCCCATATGTGCATTTACAGTAAGTCTGGTCTACAAATGAAAAATGTATATAAGCGTATAACTACTGCTTTAGTAACTAGCAACATCCGAATCAAAGTTCATCAGATATGAATACTAATAATTTCTTTACATATAAGTTGTGACTTTGGCCAGGTTTCACGACAAAAAGTTAGACCTGATTCAACATAGTGATCACTGTTCAAAGATAAGTTTTACTATATCATACTTTTTTAAAAGAACCAATAAAATAACGAAATGTAAGGGGGGAAGAACAGAAACATTATTAATTCAACATGCTATACCTTTTACAACCATCTCCATGGGGATGAAGCCACCAAGTGATTCAATATGTTTAGGACTCATCTTAAAAGCCAACTCAGTTTCAACGAACTGCCAAAAAATTTACATCATTATCCTTACAATGTAAAAAGTTGATTACATCTACTTTTTGAGATAAAAGAAAAATCAATCAAACAAGACAATGAGAGATGAAGCAGTACATATAGATCCAGTTGCCAATCATTTCCTATAATACAATTTAAACAAGATTTTTTTTTTCTAGACATATATTGAAAAGGAAATGCTGTCAGGCAAATTATCATATTTTTTTGAAGTGATACGAATATATCCTAATTACAAATACTTTTTACATAATATTGCTTATAGCATATGTTCTCTCTCCAAACACCTCCACCCATTCCAGAAAATAAATAATCACACGAAAGCGTGCCCAAAAACAATAAATGAAAAATATGATACCAAAAGAAGTACTAGGGAAAAATCAACCTCATTTTTTACTGCAAGGAATTAGGAAGCAGGCACATAAGTGATATATGATACGACAGTTTACAAACACTGTGACATAGAAAAATGTTAAAAGAAAATTCTTAAAAAGTAAAAGATAGGAGTGGACATGCCTCTTCATGTCAGGAGTCCGTATATAATACACGCTGAAACACTGATAGTGAAGAGGACGTGCTATTAAAAATACCAAGAAAAAGAATACTGATGCATCACTTCTAAATTAATTACTAAATCTAATAAAGAAGTAGAAAAATTAAGCAAATACTTCACCTAATACAATTCTATAAAGCCTACACACGTTTGCAAGGTGCTTAGATTATTTTCACATAGTATCGCTCTCATGTAAAAGGTTACATGTCTTATTAAGCAGCACACGTCCCATTGTCTTACATCATGTCAACGGGACCTTGTCACACCCCAGGCCTGCAAGGCCATTGGCACGATGTAAGCCCTGGGACCAACTGAGTGCAACACTATTTCCCAAGAGGTCACCCATCATGGTACTACTCTCGCATAGGCACGCTTATCTGCGGTGCCAGAAAATGTGCACTTGGTTCCCTAGGCTTACTATTTAAACCCATCAATATGTCATCACATGATCGATGTAGGACTAAAAGTAGGGGCATCACAGTCTGACATGCAATCTTTACAAATTTTGAGGCATCGAAGCACCACCATGTAAGTTTTGGAAAATTTTTTTAAAATATGAACAGGTCCGGATTGCTCTATGCTACACATTAGAGTTTTTGTTCACATGTATGAGTTGCTTGACTTACTAGTTACATTGCAACTTTACTTTCTGCAGAACTTGTACAAGATTGATTCCGTGCATCAAGAACTCTTCTTACTAAAATATGTATGCATGATACAGTAAAGTTTGGGATCAGTTTTCATCATCAAACACAAATCATGAAGGAAACAATATAATGATGCAAAATCGATGCTTACGACAAAATATGATGCAGGTTTGTTCTAATATAAGTTAAGATCTAAAGCTCTGATTTCTACAAGTTATGGTGAATAACTAGTAATTCTATAAATGTGATAATGAAACTGAACTCATCGAAACCTTCATGTAAGTCCAACATAGCTCGAAACACAAGAGAACCCATAAAAAGGTACTAACCTACGAAAGATAGGGAATGAATCAATAATCAGCATATACTTGCCAACATATTGTGCAACTCCAGAGTTAAAAGAGTAAATGACATTTAGTAATAGCCATACATATTATATGCAAAGATCTTTGCACTTAGTTTCTAACTCAATTTAACTCCATCTTGTCCATAGTCATTGTAAAACAAAATAAAATAAATTCCTCTCCTTAGATTCTAAATTTGCTTTCTTAAAGAACTGAAGAGCCAGAACAAATCTCCATGTGTGCATAGATAATCCTAGCAGCATGGAATTCATTCTCTCTTTTCATCCCAATTGCTATTTTATAAGTATAGACTATGTAGTATCCCCTTCCTAGGTTGCCTGTTAGCCGCTTCAAAACCTTCATTAACTTATCCATGAGAACCAGAACCAGTGTTAGCACAAACGCCCTACAAAAAAGAAGCCATCCATATATTTTACCCCTAGTTCAGTTTGACCACCACTATTAAGTCTTGATTAACATATATCAAGAACTGGCAGACATAACACAGATCACCAAAACAGTTTTTTTTTTACTGGCGAGTCTCAGATACATCTTTACCGAAGCTAAAACGAGCCAGTGGAATCTGATACATATCAGACGATAGCTCATTCCTTGAACTCATGTAATTACAATTAAAGCTAAAAATAAGCACATGGATAACTAGGAGCTTCTAAAATGAAGAAGCTTCTGGAGAAGCATAAAATGAATGCAAACATATGGGCATACCTCAGGACAGAGAACATTGACACGGATTCTTTCACGACTCAATGGAGCAAGAGATCTAGTAAATAAAGTGATGCCACCTGCAAATTAAAATATAAAAAAGAAAATATATATATATATTAGTAGAATTATAAAGAGAAAGGTTGAGATGTTCATTTTACAACTAAGTTTATAAGATCAAGAAGCTGCATTCTGAAATATTTTAAACAGAAATATTAAATGATTCATATTGTAATTAAAAATCAATTAATGTTGATGAAGTTTTAGGAACCCTTTAAATCATAAAAAATGGATCTAAATAGATAGTTTAAAACTTTTGTACTTATCATTCTTCAAAATTAACTACCGCAAAAAATCAAATAGATCTTAAGAAAATGAATAAAAAATTATTTTCAAAAATCAAAACACTATATCCATCCTCGTGGTTTAATTTAAAAATACACTAGAATATTGAAGTTTTAGTGTGGTGGAAGAGTTTTTAAGATGGCAATAGAGTAATCTAGGTTCAAATCGCACCAAACACTTACGTAAAATAGATTTTAGAAGATGAAAGATACAATTTGAGAGTCCAGTTTTCGGCACATAAAGGGTACCCAACTTGTGAGGCATATTAGAGTATAATATTATAACTCACGATTCTTTCTACAAACTTCAAAGTTTTGGTGCAGTCGAATGGATTTTAAGAAATATCAAACTTTAAGGGATTGTTATAAATTTATTGAAAAATAAAGACAATTTTTAAGTTAAAAACAGCTTTCTGAAGTATATGCAAATACTTGTCATTGAGAATTTATGTTAACAATGCAAGTAGAAGGGGTCTTCTGACCAACCACTGAACAGATGCAAGTTTTCTGATTCTAGTGATAATTGATTCCTTCAGAGGTTTTTTTGAAATTTACTGTAAATTGTAGATAACCATTAGAAATACTCCACACCCATAATACTTTTATTAGTCAATATTTAACACATCAGTTATTCACTGAATAAGACACTGAGGATCATAAGATTGTATATCATTGGGTCATTAACTGCCAAATCATATGGAACTTTGATGATGATGGTCATTAACTGCCAAATCATTGCGGCATTATTTTAAAAAAGTCGCAATAAATAATGATTTAAGCATTTGGTTTAAAAAGTACATCGTACTACTAATTACTTAGAGAAAAATATAGCAAGTTATACTAAAATATAACAACGTACACCTTGTCTAAACTGTTGAAATACAATGTGAGTTTAAATTTAATCATTTTAATTTGATTAATCCAAGAGTGATTTTGAAAGTAAGTTGAAAATAAACTTGGGTTGGTTTATAGACAAATTACTCTTTTCGGAAGCGGGAGAGCTTAAAATAATGTGTATAAACCCCTGAGTTTATAGGTAAAAAAATCCATCCACAGTTTGTGATGATCCGTCATCTTATGAAAAAAGCCAATAAAATAAAAGTTTAAGTATTTATTTAAAACTACACCACATACGTAATCAATTAGAACAAAAATATAGCAAGTTAAACAATATAGCAACTTACACCACATATCAAACTGTTGAAATACAAAGTTAGTTTAAAACGAACTTTTATGGAATGTTTTAAGTCTAGGAGTGATTTTGAAAGTGAGTGGGTGTAAAGATAAATGAGGCTAAAACTTTGGGTTTGTATGCAAAAAAATGTATTCGGAAAATGTGCGGATTTAAAGATAAATAGGTACTAAGCTTTGGGTTTATGGGTAAAAATACTCTTTGGAAGTGGGTGGGCTCAAAGATTAAAGGTGGTTTAAAATTAACCATGGGTAGTGTTTTAAGTTTAAGAATGACTTTTTTTAAGTGGATAGGTTTTAAAAAATGGGGTAAAACTTTGGTTTCCATGGCAGAGACCCCTTTTGGAAGTGGTTGGGTATGAGAATAAATAGAGATAAAACTTTGGATTTATAGGCAAATGACTCTTTGGAAATGGGTGGGGTCAAAAATAAGTTGGGGTAAACTTTGGGTTACGAGGGGAAAAATCCCTAGGGTGGGGGGTTAGTCAAATAGAACTCAAAAATAAAACTATGATAATTTGTGGGATAAAATTTTATAGTGTTCATTAATTAGAACTAAAACCAGAACTAAATTTTACAGTATTAGTCAACTAGAACTCTAACAAAACTAGAACTAGGATAATTGTACAAAATTATCCTACTTTTTTTATTTTTCTATACAAAAATGAGAGTTCTAGTCCCTCAAATTATCCCAAGTTTTAGCTTGAAAATAGGGGGTAAAAAATTAGAACTCCTATTTATTTTTTTATTTTTTATTTTTTATATTGTTTTTTTCTTTACTTCTTTCCTACTATTGTCATCACCATCATTAGACCATGTTGTCAGATCATATCTCGTTTACTCTTAGTCATCTCTGATATTTTTTTTACTAAATATTATAATTATATAATTAATTAAAAAGTAAAGATTATATCAATTCATAATTTATTACACAATAAAATTGAGAGATGAAGGAAAGAGATCTCGGGGAGCAAAAAAGGAAGGAAAATGTAAAAAAAACTTTTTTTTAGACTACTACTACAATAATAATTAAAAAAATAAAAAAACTATAACATATATTATAATAATAATTGTCTATATATTGTAGTCTAACCAAAAGTTATTTAATAATAAATAACATTCTCATAAACAATTATCAATCAATACTAGCAAGTTTAAAATACATAAATAGTATGTATATCCTCAAAATGCATAAATATATACTTAATGATTATAAAAATTTATCCTATATTATTTTATCAAAATATCATACTTCACAAAATTATTCCGTTTTACCCCACTAAAATATCCCACTAGCAAAAAATTGTTCCACTCTAACAATTATCCCACTTCGCATGAAAATGTCTCAATTAACTAACACCCCTTTAGTAAAATTTTGAAAGTGTGTGGGTCGAAAATTAATGGGGGTAAAGCTTCGGGTTTATAGACAAAAACTCAACTTTGAAAGTGGGTGGGTTTAAAAATAAATGGCGTTAGAATTTTGGGTTAAAAATAGGAACATAAAAAATAACAAAAGTTGTTGGTCGAAGGGAATCGAACTATGCATCTCTTACTTCACAAGACACATCTCTTACTTCACAAGACACAGTTAGCCCGCTGGGACAATTTGTTTGCTAGTCATTATTCCCATGTTTTATTAAATATTAGAGTTATTGGGGATGAACGGTGCTTAGGCACCGTTCATCCCCAATAACTTTTTTTATATTAGGGGGGTGTCTATATATGTCCATTGTTTTAATGGTTTCTTAAAATGTATAACGTTTGTGAGGAGTTCCAAATGGCAAGGTGACCACCTTATCCTTGAAAATCTTCCAAGATGTTTTTTAAGAAATAAATTGCTAGAGTATGCTGATGAGAACATCACAACTGGCTATAATTTAACTAACCCTAACATGATTGGATAATCCTATAAAATAGACAAGTAAACTGTGATATAATATAAACAACTAGGATGTTATTTGGTGGCAATGGCACACAGATAAACATAAAAAATTCAGTCAAAAACATAAAATAAAACACCAACAAATTCCGCACTTCCATCAACTTTTTTCATCCATAAACAAATCAACCAAAAGGGCATAGAAGTAAATTATAAACACTTGGATCATTTTAGCAAACTGATTGAGAAGAATCAATCGTCTCTTTCAATCAATAGTTCTGGCATTTAACATGACTAAATTAGAATTACTGCTACTGCTACATACATGCAGTTGATGTCTACAAATCTGGCTAGGTAATAACAACGATCACCCCTAGCCCCTACGTATTTTCTTGAACATCAAAGACATAAAGTCAGCTTCGACATCTTTGCAGTTGTACATTATTGATAAAAAAAGATATTAAAAAAAAGAAAGCCTAAAAGGTGTCAAAGAACTCCATAAGCAACATAATATATTCAACATCATGGAATTTTAACACCATAATATACAATTTAACAAGGGAAAAAAGCATACCTTTAGTGCCAGAATAGATAGGATCAGCAAACATTGGATACAGACCCGATGCAGAACCAAGATTGATTATGACGCCCGGCTTTTTAAGCATCCGCATTGCTTGGATCTGTACTAAGATAATATATCAGAAAATTATATAGAACTAAGATAAAACATATGATACTGGGGAATTTTTATTAAACAGATGCTGAATACAGTAGACTTCCGCAAGCTAAATTGTTTGAATTTTAATGAGTTCAACGAAGTTACTTTAATGAGTTCAACGAAGTTACTAGCTCTAGGTAAATATAGCATTCACATTTAACCGGCCAATCTTTCCCTTGATTTTGGTTCAACTGGATTTACAAAGAAAGAAGCCAATAATATGTTCATCCACAGCAAGCTAAAAGGATAATTCAAATGCAGCCTTGCAAATGCATAGCCAAGAACCCCTTTTAAACGTGCAATACTAGTAAAGTACATGATAGCTTGATTGGCCACTTGAAATGTTGACGTTGAATTTTCATCCTGCTTAATAAATTTTGATTTTTATCAGATTAAATAGGCACAGCAAAGAAAACAAACCTTGGTGAAATAATCCCAAGCCTTGATTAATCCATACCCAAGTCAAATAAACAATAGCAAAAACGTCATGATGGCATCAGAAGTGAAGCAGCAAAAGCATAACATACATAGTCTGTAATAGGAAACATACTCTTGATCCATAGTCCCTCAAAAGCTTAAGCTCTATGTTTCCTCAAAGAGACAGAACAAGGAGAAAAGTATAGATAACAGTGATACCGTTTGGAGAAAAGCCACCTCCCATAAATAGCATGGACACAGTACATAAGTTCAACACTGGACATGACATTTCTTCAGAATTTTGGCCACAGTAACAAGTCAACATTATATCAGAATGCACGCATGCATGCGCACACACATATACATATAATCAAAATAAAGAGAGTCTATATACATGCATGCATACACATGTTCATGCATTCATTCAAGAGCTATTGATTGAGGACCCTTTTAATGCACCAAGACTCTAAAGTTGTGGTGAGGGGTTAAAGTAAAAATTATAAACTCTTAACATGTCCCAGAGGTTGAGTGCTCTTTTTATGGGCTGAAACTAGACTCATGCAGCGCCATGGATCTTTTTAAAATTCATGGTTCGTGGGATTAAAACCTCGGTTGCTCAGATACCATATCAAAAGACCCTTCCACTACACCAGAACTCTAAACTTGTAGTGAGGGTTTAGGATTATGTTCTGTACTCCTACAGTTTTTAATAACTTGAAACATAGTGATTACGTGTGTGCTATTTGTTTGACCTACCATACACTTTTACGACTTTACCACAGGCATATCATTTTGCTCTTCGACGATATACAAAATAGAAACTATCTAAACTTAATTTTGTACAAATCAATATTTTCATTTTCTAATATAGTCTACAGTGTCTAAATGAAAACAAATAGATACTCTCATATTATTCTCAATGTCTCAAAAGCATCAAGTGCTAGCGCCTAGAGCCTTCTATGTCCCATCTAGACCTGTCATAGTCCCCCAGGCACAACCCAAAGTAAGCAGCTTGAAGGTATGTATTACACCGGTGTTCAAAAACATGAATTATGCAGCCGAGTAATCGGCCGAATGCTTGTTTGCAGCTTTGAAATGAATCAAACTAGTGAAGCGCGCTATATTACGCGGCCATGGTTCTTATTTTATTTTTTGAATTTTTTAACAGGTAGACCAACTGTTCTTTACTTCCTTTGTCCATTATGCACTAGCACTACTAAATTCTAAATTTTTTAATGCAGTAGAACAGATGTCTAACGCTCTTTGTTTCTATTTTTGTCGAAAAGTAACCATAAGCGGATTCCACAATCCACTAGTAGGCCACCAGTGAACACGTCACATATTTATCTTAACACATCTTTGACCAAAAGTAAACTATCAAGCTCTTAATAGTTCTATTAGTTTAATAGCTTAACTATTTTATTACTTTTCAAGTTGTTTATATGTTTGACATTTTTATTTAATTAGTAATCAAAGTTGTTGCAGCAACTGAAGAATTTTTAAACTCTTTATGACTTATGTCATAAGTTTATATCATTGCTTATGTTCACATTTGTTAGTCTTTTTTCTGGGTATATTTTCTATTTCTCATGAATTTTTATAATTTTTATTATATGATAATTAATATAAATACATTATATGTTTAAGAAATCGAATTCGCGTAATTCCGCTCATGCAGAACGATCCTTGGTCATTGACCAGAAAGTTCAAGATTTACTAGAACCTTTTCATTTTAATTCCGCTTATGCAGAGCGTAAGTCCGCTCATGTAGGACGATCCTTGGTCATTGACGAGAAAGTTCAAGATTTACTAGAACCTTTTCATTTTAATAATATTTGATATAATCTCCATTTTGTGGTAAGATTTTCTTAGGATTTGTTTTATGACTTTTAGAATCTCTGAATTTTTATTTTGTTAGAGATTTTATCTTAGTTTCTCTTTTATTAGGAGGACATGGTTCTTTCTAGATTTAGTTTTACTTTTCTCTATAAATAAAGTTGTAATCTTCTATGAGAATGAGACTTTGATGAATAAAATTTTGAGTTTGAGAATTCTCTCTTGAGCATGTGAAGTATCCTGTAGCATGTGAACTGCTAAGTTTTGACACGTGATGTGCTGGGATGTGAGGCCTTTTGGATGTGAGATCATTAGCTGTGAAGCCTAGTTATCTATCTAAAACCCTCTCCTTTGTTTATATTCCTTATCTCAAATCTCGCTTTCAATCTCAACCTTCAAATCCTCAAATTCTCAGAACCACAAGCCTCAAATGATCCAAAAAAATGAAGAAAACCCCCTAGAAGGCACTGTGCATAGGTGAACAATAACTATGCACTGTTCATCAGCGTGAATAGTAATTTGGTTGTGGTATATCCATGTGGACAGTAATTTTGTTACTGTTTAACCACCATCTTCTCAATATCCGACACCACCCATCTCTTCCAATGATGTCGCGATCCTTCGAATCCGACAACAAACCCTAACGACAATCTCCACTAAGATCTAAAGATTTCCTCGATTATCCCGATCGTCAAATCTCTTATAATCAGCCTCTTATGAGTTCTTATGATCCGATCAAGTATTGCCGTCGTGATATCCTCTAATCGATAAGTCATTATCTCTCTCCACTAAAGCCTTATAACACGGCATTGCAAAGCTACCAAAGACTTAGAAATCCATCCACTCCTCCTTTCACATCCCGTTCAGATTCGAGTACCCACGAAAACCACAATATTGAGAATTTCGTACGTTTTAATCGGATCCGGATTGGTGTCGTCGTGTCGAAGATAGAGCCTTCTACTTTTGAATCGGAGACCTCAGCCATGTTTGAATCGTCAGCATAATCTGATTAAACGTTACTCGCTCTATGACCACACGCATAATAAAATCGTGTTTTAGAACCTTGTATTACACTAGCTAAAGCTCATTTGTTCTTGTTCATTCCTACCACTGGAAGATGGAATTTACGTAAGATGAGAATAAACCAGCTATTAAATCTTGGATGGAATTTCTTTTGCCTATTTCCCTGAGTATTTTTTTATTGACAACTTCTAACTTGTTTCGCTATAAGAACTATGCTTTAGATTCATAATCAATCTCAAACAAGAGAAATAAACGTCAATTTATTCACGAATATCCCTGATATCTTCCATATGACTCATAATTTATGGTCAACAAAGTATGCCCCTCACAGGGTATATTGGCCATGTTCAATAATTATTTTATCCCATCAACTGTTTTATTTATCATGCTACAGCACAAGCCAATGATGATCAGTTGATTGAGAGAAACAAGATGGCGGCTTGGGGGGGCTCACAACTAAACAATAATGTTGGCAAGGAGCAGGACATCCCACACGGTAACTCCACCCCCACCTCCCACCCCCAGAAAAACAAAGAACAAGAAGGAAAAAACTCAACAAAACAAAACACCTCATTTCCCTCTCTCCATGCTTTTGCAAGTAGAACCAGAGGTAGATGAGAGTTTGGTTACTGCTTAGGCCTTTTTAAAGTTTTTAAGAGTTTTGTCCATGCATCAGTCGGAACTATATATTCAAGTTTCAAACAGGTTGATATCAAAACCAAACCCAAATGTCAGATACATCTTGATTTTTTTAACACTATGATAATGTCTTCTTGTCTCACATTGTATGCTACGTGTAGAACCTGACTTCCCTAATTCATAGGGCAATGTAGTTGTAACATATAACTCTTAAGTGTTGACTTGACATTGTTCCAAGTTCTGCAAACAGCAAATTGCGGAAGGAATATGATATTCATATGAAAGATTAAAATAGGGAAGGATAACATTTATAATTTCAGTGTGAATAGTGTTTAGCATCACCAGAATACAGGAAAGCTCACTGAAAGTAGTATCAATCAATATACATACCGCGATACGAGTGCAATCAATAACAGCAGTCAAGTTAATATTGATAGTACGCCTCCATGTAGCATTACCATCAGATAAATCTTTATCAAACCGTGTGTCTGTACCAACCCCAGCACTGTTTATACAAATATCCAGACTTCCATATGTCTCCAGATGCTTTTGAAAGGCAGCGGATAAATCTCCTGCACATGAAAACTCTCAATATTAAGGTTAAAAATGTAAACTGCAGACAACTATAGAAGAGTGCACACATAGAAGCCGGGAACGTGGTACGGCATAGCGAACCACGACCTGGGTTCAATCATCCTAGATTCGCATGGGATACCACCCAATTCACCAACTTCAGCGACCCGATTTAGAATTCAAACCAGTTAAAATTTTAAAAAAATAACTCTCTTTAAAAGAATAAACAACGAAAACGTGAGAAATTAAGCCAATAAAGTATGCATATCTTAATTGCAACATGATTCTCAAGGTTATTTTACCATTACTAATATCAACTAGCATTTAAGAACCAAACCTAAAGCACACCATATTCCCCGGCGTACCATATATGCTACCCGCCTCGTAGCCGATTCCTAATGAGTGGTGTACCACGTTTCCATACTCATCCCGTGAACCGGAATGAACCAGGTTCCATGCAACTATGAGCGCACCGGACTTGCCACAAAATATATAATGCATAGTCATTTGTACAAGAAAAACCATAAAAGAACCAAGCAATCCCTTTCTCCGCTCCCAAAAAATGTACCAAACAAATCTCATATTTACAATCCCCACAAGATCTAAATTTCTTATTTCAACATAAGGTTGGATCAAAACTCCATCAAAAGAAGGACAAAAAGTGTATTTGTCTTTGATATTACTCTGTCAACCGTCTATAACTCGTAGCATGTTCCTTGCATAGACCTTTGTACGTGAATTTGCAGAGTTGCAATGTAGCTTGTTCACTTTTTTAACCTAACAGTTCAAATTCACATCTACTGAGCCAACCTCCTACATCCCAAGTAGCTTATATGAAGGCTAGACGAATAGGGAAAATACAAGGTTTGAAATTTCGGAATATGTTTTCAATCATATTAAGAAATCAAAATGCAGAACATTCAATATGATGCAATTATGCAAACGAAATGCTCAGAGAAAGACGTCCTAAACTAGAGAAATATGACAACAGATAAATGTCAAAAGAAAAAGAACGCTTACTTGTATTAGTAACATCACACCTAATAAACGTTGCAGAAGGAAACTTTAGTTTTGGGTGAAACTTTATACTCTCTTTTTCAATTAAGGAAGCAACTTCTTTTCCCCTCTCTTCAGAGTAGTCAACAACAGTCACAAAAATACCATTCTGAGCAAGAGCCAAGCTAAGCGCTTTACCTGCAGAATAAATAAAAGAACAGTGAACAAAGGAGTTTGGTTTCTCGGAGCCATACGAGAAAATTCAGAAAAACAATATAGAGAGCACTTATTTGCAGGCAAAACTAGGGGGTGCTAACAAGGATACAATCCCGAAAGATAATTTGATGCAGTTCTAAATATTATGTCGTTGTTTCCTTTAAGGGCGTGTTTGGTTCACCCTAAATTATTGGAAACAATGTGCTTTTTTATGAACTAGAACAAAAAGTAGGAAATATGGCATTATAGGCTTCCAATAATTTCATTTGGTTTTAAAAAATTTTGAGAAAAGTTTTCCATAAAGCAAGAAAAGTACATGAATTTTTGGGTTACCCAAATCCTTAGTTTTGGATGGGAAATGGGCAAAAAAGCTCAAGAAAAGCTTTTTGTGATGAGATATTTCCTATTCTTTGCAAATGAAACAAAGTTTTGGATATGCTTCCCTACTCTTTATTATATCATTACAAACCAAAACACAGGTTTTGGTTTCCCAAGATATCCTAAAAATTTATAAGATTTGGTTTCTTGAGAGGGAATTCATTTCCATAATTTTTAGGAAATGAACCAAACAAGCCCTAATTGAAAGCTATTTGCCTTCTAAGTGTAATGTTCATAATACAGCATGAGTACCTATTAATGTCCTCTAATTCCAATATCACTTTACTAAAAATGGCTGCACTCACCCATAAAATCTTCTTTTGACCCACTATATTCCTATTATGGCAGAACATAACCAATAAGAATTTTCCACAGAAAATAACTACTAAAAAAAGTTTCCACTAATGCAATCCAAGTTTATTAATTTAGTACGTCCAAATAATAATCGATCCATAAATAAATTATTTCTATAAAAAATTTTGTTGTAAGTTATATTGTTGTAAGGGCATCCTTAGCACTTCACTCCCTAATGACACCCAAAATTCTAACATTTATTTCATTACAATCTTTGCTTAATTCTATTCTCACTTGAACTCATTAACACGTCCCAAGTGAGGAGCTAGGGTTTCAGCTCACATGCCCAAGTTCCACTTGCACTATTAATTCCTTAGTTATAACAATGAAATGCGATTTGATCAAAATTATACGCCTAAATTTAACTAAAAGCTGGAGCTTTAAACTGATAAACAGATAGAAATAGTGACTGCACCGGAAACACATCATCTTCAGTGAATCGAATGCAGTCCTGAACCATATTTGTCAGCAAAAACTGGGTGACAATGATTTGCAGCTAACTATTGGCACATTAAATGTTTGGGGAAAGTTAATCCTTCCATTCTCTTTAATTTTGGCGTTAAAGCGATTTCATACTAGAACAAATAACTAAACCTTAAATCAAGAAGAAAATTAGGTAGTCCCCAATTGGAGACCTATAGTCATGAGCAGTATCATAACCCATTGAACCCAGGGTTTCAGCTGCTCACATGACTCCAGTTCCAGTTGCAACATTAATTCATTAATCCGAACAATGAACTGCTATTTGATCATTATTCACTGAAATTGAACTAAAAATTGGGTCTTTCAACTGATTAACACGATAAGATAGAGAGAATAAGCCCAAAACATACAAAGTTCAGTTCTTTCGCTCTTCACTTTACCCATATTTAATCACTAAAGATAGTCTCTCAACACTTTCTCTCGCAAATTATTGAAATAAAAATTCGTCGGATAAGCATTTATCCATTGAAGGCAATTTCAAAACTAGAACAATAACTAAACCCTAAATCCAGAAGAAAATTAAGTAGACCCCAATTTCGCACTAGGGTTCCGGATCACGTGGCCCCAAGTTCGTTAATTCCCTAACCAGAACAATAGCATGCTGCCATGCTGTTTGTTCAAACTTAAACTCTCAAATTGAACTAAAAAATGGATCTTCCAACTGTTAGCAGAGAAGAGTGTCGATTGAGATTACCGATTCCGGAGGCGCCTCCGGTGACCAGAGCCGACATCCCTGGCCTCAGCTCCATCGCTTGGGCAACAACAATCAACAATCTAAGAGGGGAGAGGAGAGGGGGGGGTGGGGGGGGGGGGGGCAAGATGTAGATCAATGATAAAGAAAATTACAAGGAGGAGAGTGTGAATGCTGAAGACATTTCAGCGTGACGACAGAGTTTGCGAGCGCGAATCTTGTTGCCGTTCCTTTTACTATTTCTTTCTTTCTTTTTCTTTTTTTTTTTTTTTTGAGGGGTAAATTACACTTAAATTAAAGAGAAAATTGTGTATAGGCCTAAAAAAAATAAAAGGGATGTGACTCAGCCCCTCTATATTTTTCCATTACTTTTTAACCCAAAAAACACCAAAAAATGTGTTCAGCCCCCTTTTCACACTCTCTCAAAATTTCATTCCAATACATTCCAAAAATACCCCTTCCTTTTATCTTCTTCTTCTTCTTCTCATACTCTATGGCTTTCTCATCCTCCTCTCACTCTCCTCCCCCTTCTCCCCCTCCTCTATGGCTTCATCTTCTCCGCGGCCACCGACGCCGACGCCGACGCCGACGCCGATCTACTCTTCCTCAGCCTCCTCGAGCACGAAGAACTCCCGACGATCACCGACGCTGTCTCGTTCCGGTCGGATCTCAAGTGGAGGTATGATCCAACGACATCAGACTCCGAGGCCTGATCAAGGGGACGATTGCTGGCGGAGGATGAGTAGTATCAAGTCTATTCCTATTTCAGGCAAGGATGTTACTCAATTTGTGGGGGTACAAGCTTCTTATGAACAGGTACAGACAAATGGTTCCTTGTGCTGGTCTTTAATATTATGCTGATATTAAGGATGGACTTTAAATAAACATGATCGCTTTAAGATTTTTATATGAGCAAAGTCTAATGTTGTCTGGGACAATTGCTTTAGACTTTAAACAGACAAGTGGTTCCTAGTTTGTAGTAAGCTTCGTTAGCCTCTTCAAGTTTTGGCTGTACAAATGTATTTGAGGCCTGCACCTTTTTTGGTTGAAATCTTATTAACCCTGGGAAACCCTGAACAACTAATAAAAGTTGATCTTATACTGAGGGAACATTAACATTTTAATTTTCTTAAAAATCAGGAAGCCTGAGTTTTTTGATATGGATAACCAATAAAAGTTCATTTGTTTTTCTGATCCTATACTCGGGAAACATTAACATTAATGTTTTTATGTTAGTGATCCTATAATTGGGGAACATTAACATTTCAATTTTCCTAAAAACCAGGGAACTTGAGTTTTTGATATGGATAACTAATAAAAGTGCAATTGTTTTTCTGATTTCAGGAGGCAAGATTCCCTCAGCTACGTACGTTATCACATGATCAGAGAGCGCGGCTAAACGCCAGTTTCCTTCATTTTGACGACTATAGTTTCTGTGAGTGGATGAGTAGCTTGAAGCTTGTACCCCCAGAAATGTACAAGCTTGTACTTCCGATTCCCCTGAGTCTCTGATTAAATTTACTTGGCTTTTGGTTGATGTCATTTTGTGATCTACTAACTTTCATTCACATACATGCAATACTTCTTGTTATGTGCAGCTTGTAATTCTGTGCTTTGTTTACTTTTGTATTTGGGGTCTGACTTAGATTTCCAACTTGTAAGGGTTTTAATATAGAACTTTGTTTAGAGATATTGAAGTTTGCTGTTTTTTAGGTACGTGTGTGGGTTTGTTGTTGTTAATATTATCTGTTTGATGGATGTTTGATGAATTGCTTGAATGGGTTACTTGTTTAGGTTTTCCATGGATTCACGCACATATGGTTTGTTTAGCAAATATATTTATAATTTTACAGATGATTGTTGTTTCTGCTTGTTGAAAAGAGATTAGTTGTTCCATTTATATGTTAATTTTCTAAATATTTCCTTGCAAACAAAGTGGTTTTTATCTTGCCTACACGCTTCAAGATTGATTATGGGCTTATATAAAAAGTTTGATCGATTCCAATTAGATAAGGATATATCGCAGTATGAGAGTTCAAACAAAGTGGGCGTACAATTTGTATTATGTCTGAGTACACTTTCACTGTTGCATGCTAACTTTCATAACAATTTGTTAACTTTTAGCTGAACATGTTAACTTTTCATCATAATATGTTAACATTCACTATTACATGTTAACTTTTACCATATTATGCTAACTTTCTTTGTAACATGTTAACTTTTATAATAATATGTTAATTTTCTTCGTAACATGTTAACTTTTTTTTGTAACATATTAACTTTCATAATAATATGTTAACTTTCTTCGTAACATGTTAACTTTCACCATATTATGCTAACTTTCTTCGTAACATGTTAACTTTCATAATAATATGTTAACTTTCTTCGTAACATGTTAACTTTCACCATATTATGCTAACTTTCTTCGTAACATGTTAACTTTCATAATAATATGTTAACTTTCTTCGTAACATGTTAACTTTCACCATATTATGCTAACTTTCTTCGTAACATGTTAACTTTCATAATAATATGTTAACTTTCTTCGTAACATGTTAATTTTCTTCGTAACATAATAACTTTTATCATAATATATTAACATTCACTATTACATATTAACTTTTACCATAATATGTTAACTTTCTTTGTAACATGTTAACTTTTAGCTGAACATGTTAACATTTCAGTTAGAACTTTTAATCTTTCAAACACATCGAATTTTAGTTCAAAAAACTTGTTATAAAGAAAATTAACATATTACTATGAAAGTTAACATGTAATAGTAAACATTAACATATTATTATGAAAGTTAATATGTTTAGCTAAAAGTTAACATGTTACAATGAGAGTTAACATATAATGATGAAAGTTAACATATTATTATGAAAGTTAACATGTAATAGTAAAAGTTAACATATTATGATATTTAATAGTGTATCGTAACTTGAAGATTATGTACATAATCTATATATATTATGTACACAATAACCTTAAGATTATGTGTACATATTCACATGACAGACGCAATACATTTCAAGATTATGTGTACAAATAAGTTTCCTGAGCTCAAAAAAACTACATTTAGATTTGTGATGGGATCTATCTGCACGCAATTGTACTGGTTTGTGATTATTTTTGTAATGCTAAGAGCTTGATATAAGATGATGCTTTTATTTTATTTATTGTTCTATAGGATGAAAGGTTACCGTGGAGGAAAGAGAACCGTGGTTTGGTTGTACTTAGATCAAAATTTAATAAAAACATATTATTATGAAAGTTAACATGTAACAGTGAAAGTTAACATATTATTATGAAAGTTAACATGTAATAGTGAAAGTTAACATATTATGAGATTTAATAGTGTATCGTAACTTGAAGATGATGTACATAATCTGTAAATATATATGTACACAATAACCTCCAGATTATATACATATTATGTACCATAATATTCAGGTTTTGATACACATAATATATATATAATCTTTAGTTTATTATGCACATCGAGTTCTATTTGAATGAACTTGTACATATTCACATAACAATTATGACGGCCCTGGTTTCACACATGGCTGCAGTCCAAGGTGAACCCAGAGATGTCAAACCTACCATACACTCACACTGTACAACAACAAGTTTCACCAATCACAGCAATATCCTCTAGTGGAATCAAAAAAAAGGTGCAAGTACAATACATGCAAAAAGAAGGAAAACAACTGCAACTGACATGATATAAGAAAGAATGTCTCATAAATAAATCATGTCTCAATGAACAAATCTGGAATACATCTGTCATCATGAAATATACGAATGTATCACGACATGGATCAACTAAGAATGTACAAAGGTTCACAGCCTTTACAAAGCGAGAAAAATAAAGAAAACTCTAATAGTTGAACATAAGGTCTATCTACTATGGAGTCTCATCTACTAGCTCATATGACGGCGACTATGCAAAAACTTTGTCATCATGCGACTCTCCGATGCTCTAAACCGCCTGAAAGGAAAATAAAAATTAAAAAAATAACAACAAGAGCGTTAGAGCACTACAGCAAGATCACCTCCATCCACCCCCAGGGGAAGGACTGTTAGATGTAGCGGAGGCTCTATCTATTAAGCATAGTCTACGTATATCATTTTCTCCGTATCTAATGGTATCAATATTTAGAAATCTACAACACGAGACGTAGTACGTCGAGCGAAATAATCCAAATAAGGAAACCCTCATGTATATGTTGGACCTTAGAGGGGGGGTGATTAGGGTCTTATGCTAATCTAATCCGATTTAAATGCATATTAAAATTAATTAATAAGTTATGCTAGCAAGTATGAAATATGACAACTATATATAAGCTATGATAAGCAATATGAACAACAAAGAGATATATCCTATATGATAAAAATATATATGTAAGGATATATAAACTAACACAAGGGTAAACAATATGAACTAAATAGTGGATCATATAAATAATGAGCTATGGACAATGGCGATATAAGATATGAACATAAATATAAATGAACGCCAAAGCACACTCAAACACACTATATGATCACGGAGTTCGGACCTTCCGTCCTACGTCTCCGCTCCCCACTCCCGGGGAGAAATCCACTATCACAATCCGGTTTGGAAGCCGGAACTTCTACACACTCGGTTTACAAGTTCACCGAAAACTCTCACACAACAAACACTATACAATCACACTCTACACCCACACAAGTGTTGGACCTTGTCGTGTCTCCCTCAAGTGCTCGGTTACAACCTCTCCCTAGGTTCGTCAACCGACGTCACTCCTCTTGGAACGATCCCCGACTCTCACCACACACTCCTCACTCGGTGTACAAGTGTATTACAAAGTGATTCTCACGATAAGCACGATATAACAAATAATTGTTCTCTCTAATAAGGTGAGAACTCAATTAAGCACAACTTAATATTACAAACTCTCACAACCCTAATATACTATGTATGCAAATACAATAAGCTCAAATGGGTGTGTGTAACAATAAGATAAAATCAAATCTAACCTTAATATAAAACTAGCTTTAATAGAAATGATAATTAACAAATAATTATAAATAAAAGCTAGAGTTGAGTTTAGGAAAACTTCTCTAGATCAAGA